CAACAGGTTGTCAAGCAGCTCATGAAGAAGGACGTCACTCTTGAGTTCTCCCGTGACAGGAAGTCCATGTCCGTGTACTGCACTCCCACTAAGGGTGATGGTGGAGCCAAGATGTTCGTGAAGGCAAGTTGCTCGTCTCTTTCACAGCCTTTGATCACACAGCTGCACTTTGTTGGTGAAGCATTCAACTCAACATGAGATAATCGTGCTGTATTCTACCACAGGGCGCCCCAGAAGGTGTGATTGACAGGTGCACATACGTGCGTGTTGGAGCTACCCGCGTGCCCCTGACCACCGCCATCAAGGAAAAGATGCTGAGTGTGATCAAGGAGTGGGGAACCGGGCGTGACACCCTGCGTTGCCTGGCCCTCGCCACCCGTGACTCCCCCCTGAAGATGGATGAGATGAACCTCGAGGACGCCACCAAGTTCGCCGATTACGAGGTGAGAGCCCAGCGCCTCCATAAAGAGATGTGTGGATGTAACCTTGACTACATGTGAACACTTTGACTGAACTCACGCTTTTCTCCTCAGGTTGACCTGACCTTTGTTGGAATTGTGGGTATGCTGGATCCCCCCCGTAAGGAGGTCTGCGGCTCCATCGAGCTCTGCAGAGCTGCTGGAATCCGTGTCATTATGATCACTGGTTAGTATTATGGGCTGGAAGGATTATCAATTCAGAAATGTGCCGTCATTTTAGATTTAGATTAGACTAGATTTGATAGATCTTTGTTGCACAGAGAACAAGTGCTAATATAACGAATTGCACTTAGCATCTAACCAGATGCCATAAAACAAGTTAAGTTCAGTTTGTTTTGTAATATAAGTGTATACATATGGAAGATATAAACCAACTTAAGTATTGACAGTACATTCAAACTGAAACTAAGATGTAAATAACCAATGAAAAATAGTGTTAGTAAACTTGAACTAACTTAAAACATGATATACATATTATGTAGGAAAAGAGAAGGACCACAACAATGATATTGTGTGCTACAAAAACAAGGCCAAAATAAATACAAATTCATTTCAATTTAAATATGTCACTAGAATTGAAAATAGGAGACAGCATGAATTTTGGTTAAAAAAATTTTTGTGAAAATTAAACATACTAGACATTCCAGTAGATGGTGCCATTGCAACACACTTTTACAACTAAACTGTATTTTCTATGTATATGCAGCTACATACTGAGATATAGCCGACTATATAAAATACTATCACTAATTATATCAAAACAACTAAATTCCTTGTGTTCTCTTGTAGAACAATTATTAATGAATTATATAATTATAAGATTTTTTGCCATTTTTGAGTAAGGAAAATGTATAATCTAAATTAAACCAAAGTGTAAAGTTTAATATAAAGTTGTTATTGTGGGTTTTGAATTTGATCAAAAATACACTGTAACCCTAATCCCAGAAACGTTCATTTCATTTCACTAAACCTCTCCTCCTCCATATTCCAGGTGACAACAAGGGAACCGCCATCGCTATCTGCCGTCGTATTGGCATCTTCACCGAGGATGAGGATGTTGAAGGAAAGGCCTACACCGGACGTGAGTTTGACGATCTGCCCCTGGAGCAACAGACCATGGCCGTGAAGAGAGCTTCCTGCTTCGCCCGTGTGGAGCCATCCCACAAGTCAAAGATTGTTGAGTTCCTGCAAGGATTCGATGATATTACTGCCATGGTAAGAGCACAGTGTGTTGGTGGCTTTGTGTCAGGTTATTTGTCCGTACATGTGTTTTGTTTGAGAGTAGTTGAACTCATGCGTCCTTTCCTCCCTCCATAGACCGGTGATGGTGTGAATGATGCCCCTGCCCTGAAGAAGGCCGAGATCGGCATCGCCATGGGCTCTGGCACTGCCGTTGCCAAGTCTGCCTCTGAGATGGTCCTGGCTGACGATAACTTCTCTTCCATTGTGGCTGCTGTTGAGGAAGGCAGAGCCATCTACAACAACATGAAGCAGTTCATCCGCTACCTCATCTCCTCCAACGTTGGTGAGGTCGTCTGGTGAGTGGCTGAAGCTCTGATTCACACACTTCAGCCTTCTCTCTCTGTGTCCATTTGTCTGATTACTATCCTTTTCTTCATTCAGTATCTTCTTGACCGCCGCCCTGGGTCTGCCCGAGGCTCTTATCCCCGTCCAGCTTCTGTGGGTCAACCTGGTCACTGACGGTCTGCCCGCCACCGCCCTGGGCTTCAACCCCCCAGATCTTGACATCATGGGCAGGCCCCCACGTTCCGCCAAGGAGCCCCTGATCTCCGGATGGTTGTTCTTCAGATATATGGTTATTGGTGGTAAGTAGGACTTTGGACGCCATGTTTGTATTCGGTTTGAAAAACCCCCGCCTACACTGACTCCGTCATGTGTCTCCCTCACAGGATACGTCGGAATGGCAACTGTTGGAGGTGCTGCCTACTGGTTCCTCTATGACGCCGAGGGACCCGGTGTCACCTACTACCAGCTGGTAATTTACCATTCTTTAATTATTTTAACATATTTCTTATTTAATCAATCTACATAACGAGCATACAACTTGAAAAAAAGACACATATACAATTTCAATATACAATTTAACTTCTAAAATGTTAATCTCATCATTTTTATAAAATACGTCTTCATTGTCTTCATAAACAGCTTTGATAATACAATGACTGTATTATTAACCAAATGAAGAACTGGTGTTATAGGAATCCAATGCTATAAAAAATAAAGTAAAAAAGGAGAAAAGGATGACTAGACATTTGGCAATGCTTGTAATAATGGTGGTGTATATTTTAAAACACTTGTCAAACTGTGATCCTGCCGTGATTTTCTCCATTAAAAGGACGTTTTCTTTAACCCTGTCTCTCCATTACGTTAACCTATGGGTCAGACTTATCCTTCTTGGCTTTTAAAAGCATAATATTCACTATGGAAATTAATTTTCTCTTCATCAAATCATTTAGAAGTAATCCAGTATGAAAAGGGCTGTATCTTAAGAAGAAGTTATCTTTCAAACAAACTTACAAGCAGTCACTAAATAACCCCCCTCTCCTCTGTACAGTCCCACTTCATGCAGTGCTGCCCTGAGAACGAGGACTTCATCGGAGTCGAGTGCACGATCTTTGAGCATTGCGCTCCCATGACCATGGCCCTGTCTGTGCTGGTCACCATTGAGATGTCCAACGCTCTCAACAGGTAATGTTGAGTCACAAGAGATGATGACTCGTGATTTTTCTCCAGGTAAACACAGACATTTATTAACTTTTTCTTTATTCTTTTTTAAGCTTGTCTGAGAACCAGTCTCTGCTGCGCATGCCCCCATGGGTCAACATCTGGCTGCTGATGGCCATGGCCCTTTCCATGTCCCTTCACTTCGTGATCATCTATGTTGACCCCATGCCCGTAAGTCAGCCGTCTTATATTGAAACATCGCCCTCTGTGACGTGTGCCTTTTGTCGTAGTTGCTCTCCGCTGTCGTCTCCCATCAGTTCTGACTCCTCCCTACTCTTTTTCCCCCCAGATGGTCTTCCATCTGACCCATCTGAACGTCGAACAGTGGTTGGTGGTCCTGAAGCTTTCCTTCCCCGTCATCCTTATTGATGAGGTGCTGAAGTTTGTGGCCCGCAACTACATTGATTGTAAGTAGTCTCTTTTTTTCTCACTCTAACATATTTGAATTTATACCTAAAATAACAGTTCTGTTTTATTTTTTAAAAAAAACATAATTTTAATATATTAATACTATCATCTTTTTTAAATTCATTTTCATTAATATTTTAACTTAATTCTTCTTCATCTCGTACTATCATCTCTTTTATCACTTCATCATGTTTGATAATGTCTGTTTTCATCTGCCGAATTCCACCCTTCCCTCATCATTAACTCACTTATCCCTTATTGATATCCAGACTCACCCGCCCCCCCGCGTGTAACTACATCAAGGTATTCCACAACTCAAGTAATCTGTAGTTTGTGTGCATGTTGGTGTATCGTCTGTTTTGTCCCGTATGTTATTATGCCATCCGTCCTTAGCAGTGTCTACTTTATATATTATCACACTCCTATTGATGGGGTTCTCTGGCTTCTCCCTTCTACTAAATGCATTCAACATCTGTCCCAAATTGACAAGGTGACATGATGACTAATGAATGTGGAGATCCTCAGAAGTCGTTCATCACCTCTGAGTTTCTGTCTGTAGGCAGGAGTGTGACCAATACCTGTTTTGGTACCACTTTTGTAAAAAGGCTTGATATTGTTGGTGTCCCACAAAAAGCATAGCATATATAAACATAGAATAAATCATTTAGGATGCATCTGCTTTGTTGTATTTATCAACAAGGGCTGGATAATAACCAGATAATGCATGACAGCAATTACATTAATAAACACTGTTTTATTATGCTTAAATTGCAATGCACCTAACCTGAAATAGATTTGTATCTGAGTGAGACGTTGTACAGGTTATTTTATAGGTAGCATCATGCTTTCTTAGTGATGTCATGATGTCTTGTTTGTCTGCAAATATAGCTTGTTTTATTTGATTTGTCAAAAGTGTCCTTGTGTTCAGTATCCATTGTCAACCAAATCATGTTTCCCATAATCATGTCCTTCTCTAAAATATCCTATTTCTCTTCAACAGGTACAGAAAATAAAAAATAGAGATGTAGAAGAAGAGGATCTTTAGGGTTGGAGAGAAAGAATTGGAGAGGAAACGAGGAAGATCAAAACCAAAGAGGGCCAACCAATAGAAGAGAGAGGAGAAAACACAGAACAACTTGTGAAAGAAAACAAGAAAACTTGTCAAGAAAATCTACATAAACATAGCCTCTATATAAGCAAGAAGATTTGATTAAAATGGCTGGAACTGTCCCTGTCGATAAATTATTCAAATATTTAGGATTTTATTCTCAGAAATTAAAGTATGTATTAAAAGTGATTTTTTTGTTAAACTTGGATATTCTCAGCTGTTGTGTTTTTGTGTCCTCTGTCCATTTTCATAAGATTGACTTTCCAGCTCATTACTTTTATTCTAGTCTTTGTTGCTCGTGTCTCGTGCAGCCTCCCTTCTCTGGCTGGGCTTTGTACAGTGTGGTGTAGGGTTGCAAAATGGCTTCATATGGGCAGAAAAAGCACATGCCTCCAGCTGCAAGTGCTCTCTACGGGCTCCATGCAAACAGACTGTTGGAGGTGTCATGTCATAAAATGGGCATGTCCACTCAGTCACAACACTTTTGGTCTTATATATTGTTTACGTGATAAGCTGCAATAAAGTGATGATTAAAAACTCAAGTCCTTGTATCATGGAGCACATTTTTATTGATTCTTTAAACATACTTTTGAATGGTTTTCCTCTTAATCTAAACACTAGCAATTAACACCTGAGCTGAAACTTATTTATTTTTACTCTGCTGGTTTGGTTTTGAGCTCCTGTCAAATTTTCTGACAGTCTTTCTGTCTTCCCTGAATCAGTACTTCATTCTTTGGTTTATAAGGCGGCATTAGTTTGGTATAAAACCCAACATCCTTTAGATGAGGCTCCTAAATGGTATATTGACGTCCTTCATCTTCTTGTCATAATCTTCGGCAAACATCTTTGATTGCTCGGGTGTGAAATGGTTTCTCCAATCCCCCACTTGACCTGAAAACGCAGAAGAGAAGAAAAAAAGTGTTAGATATGAAGATCAATATACAGTTTGTGGAAATAAGCAATAATCTATGGTGCAAGTTCTTAAATGATTCGCTCAAATGGCGTTTATTGTTGAACAGAAGTGCTGCAACTTTCCTTATCGACTATGTTAATTGGTTGTTTAGTGTAACAAGTATTAGAAAACAGAGGAAATGTCCCACACTAACAATCCCCAAAGACAAAACTTTAAAAATGACTATAATACATGAAAAAAAAAAACAATAACTAAAATAATCTCATTTTAATATCCAGTCTAAAGATAATAAATCCAGTTTTGTTCACCAGTGGTCATTGTTTATTAAATAAAAAAGTGAATAATGCTCTAGGGGGTGCTGCTGTGTTGTACACAGCTAAGGAAAGTGCAGGGAGAACAGAATATTACACAAAATATTAAAAGAGTAGTGTTTTCTTTTTAAATAATATTGGCAGCTTAAACAATTTTATTATTATAAGATATTTGTGGTATTTTGTCAGCCCTTCTCGCTGTGTGTTAACAGACGTGAGAAGAGGTGTAAATGATATATTATTCCCTCAATGCAGATCACTCTTTCACTTTTTAAACCTGGAGCTTCAAAGGTGTTACATGTTCAGACTTGCTCATACCTTTATTATTATTATTATTATTATTATTATGATCAATATATGGTTTTGGATTGATTGAGGCACCTTTTCTCATGAAGGGGGAGACGGAGTTATCAAAAACATGCGTTGGGATGCAGGAGTAGTTGGCCATGGGGTTCTCCTTCATTATCTCAAAAGAAGTAAGCTCCACAATCCGGCTGATGACCTCATCCGAGAGCGACAGGTCCAGGTACTTCATGATGCGCTCCACCTCACGCCGAGGATTCTGGGAGAGCAAACGTGATGGTAAGAGTTTGTACATCATGCTTTGTATTATAGAGTCCATTATGTTCTCTGTACCTCTTTCATGTCCTCATAGAAGAGGTACAGGATGTTCCTCTTCTCTCTCTCCTTCCAGTAACCTTTCACATGGTCGTACCACGAGCCCCACGCCACTGCAGAGACAAAATGCATCAATCACTGTTCATGGTAACAGGCCAGTAAAAGGTAAGGTGTTTTTTGCTGTACATCTGTATATCAATCATAAGTCATTGACTTTTGGGTTGCCAGGTTGTTCTATTAACTGATTAACAATGGGCCTCCAAGCACAGATTTTCAAAAGGCCCCACTGCCTACATAAAAGCAATGCACACAGACATTTGCTTACAGTTAAATACAAAAACAGTATGCATGATGTTCAGTAAACGACCAGTCAAAATCGAAGGATCCAATGTGTTTTTAAACAGAGCAGAAATAGAACTAGTCCCACACCTCAAGTATCTTGGAGTCATAATGGACTCGAACTTGACTTTTAAGAAACATATTGGCGGTGGTGGCGAAGTCGATAGGGACTTGGCTTGGTAGGTCACCAGTTCAAGTCCCGGCAAGACCAAGTGCTACCGAGGTGTCCCTGAGCAAGGCACCGTTCCCTACACTGCTCCCCGGGCGCCTTTCAAAATGGCAGCACACTGCTCCTAACACAGGATGAAAGTATCCAATACCATTAAATTCAACTTGCAACATTTTAAACAAATTAGACCTTTCTTAACTGTCAATGCTGCAAAGTCATACCTCCACTGCATGACTCTATCCCACATTGAATACTGTTTGACATACTGGTCGTTTGCTTGTGCCACAAACCTGAAACCAATAGAACAGCTGTACAAGAGAGCTATCAAGGTGTTTGACAGAAAGTCAACTTCATACCACCACTGTACCATCCTTGAAAAACACAATTTCTTGAGTTTTGACAATTTTAAGTCTTTTAAAAGTACGTGTTTTTTTATAAATGTTTACATGGACTGGCCCCCCCCCCCCCCCCCCCTTAGGGGAATTCATCCACAAAAAACACACTGGACGCTGCACTAGGTCAGAAACCAGAGGAGACTGTGAGGTCCACCGTAGACGGACCACTTTCGGTCAAAATGTTCAATCAATTAAGGGCAGCTCATTGTGGAATAGCCTCCCAACTGAGATACGGGATTGTCCCACTTTGAACAGTTTTAAAGGTCAACTAAAAGAATGGTTCAGAAACAAACAAAACGTGCAATCACCGCTAAATGCACTTTAATATAGGGGTGTATCTCCTCTTGCAACACATCCTCACTCCCAGGTCGGCCTATGTTGACGTTATGTCAAGTCCCCTGTGTCGGCTTTTTCCAACGCAAGGGGGGGGGCCTTAGCGTCCATTTTCAACGCAAGGGAGGGGCCCTTAGCGTCCATTTTCAGCTTTCCGGGATGTCCATATGCTTCTATGGACGCTCATGGAAGCACGGCATTCGTTTGTGTCGGCTGCCCTTAAAGGCAATGTGAGCGTCCATTCTCATTGGATAACGGAGAATTGTACACCCGGAAGTAAGTATTCCCCTTACTGTCGATTGATTTTACAGTGATATTTGCACTACTCATCGACTAAAAAACACCAGATTATCCTTGTTAATTACACAACATTGATTGGTTTAAATTGTGTGCAATGCTTTTGTATTTTTCCCTTCGATTCGGAGAAACAAATATCTTTTCGGAGTAAAGGATGGCAGAAGACAATACACTACCCAGAATCCCCAGCTATCGTTTGGACTACACCATGTGCTCTGTTTGACAAACCCCGTGATAGTCCTCAAGCTCTGTGATTGGAGAGTGTGCTCCGAGGGTTACGCCTAGCCTCGAACAGCACTTGAAATGGGATGGAACCACAGCAGACTGTCCAAAACTGGATTTGAATGGGTTCACCGCGTCCCCCCCCTCCCCCACCCCGTCCCCAGAACTACACATGCTGGCTATTCTGTTTCGCAACATGTTCTCTATCTATGGCACGTCTCTACTGGGAGTTGTAGTTTTAAAAGACGTTTTCGTATTTCCCATAATAAGAAGTTGCCAGTATTAAACTGTGTACATCCCTGGAGGTTTAGGGGGTAGGAAACACTCAAATTTAAAACATATAATTAATAAATGGGTGAAAATGGCTTGTGCCCATAATGGGCAGCATTAATATATATACACACATGCCAGCTAAGGTCAGAAGAGCTTTATTTAACAGCTGGTCTTATGTTTGTGACCCCTGTTGTTAATTGATAACATTACATTAATTGAGAAGCCTGAAACATGCACTTGTCAAGGTTGTTGTGCACCGTCAAAAGTGCTAGTCAATCATGTTTCATGTTTATTTTGTATTGTTTTTCACTTCATGTTTTGTTTTTGTCACGTCTCATTTCAGGTCCCTTGACTCCCTTTCCTCATGTGTTCTCCCGCCCTCATCAGTATCAGCCCCGCCCCTGATTGTGTTCACCTGTGTCTTGTTGTTGAGTGTTTAAATTCCCCAGTCTCCCAGCGTTCAGTGTCAGTTCGTCTTGTCCTGTCCTGTCCCCATGACAGAGCTATGCTCTTCAGCTCGTTTTGATTCAAAGCCTATGTTGGCTCCTGAAACTTATTATAAGTTTAGTTCCTCACGTTGTGAGTGATTTTCTGTTTTGCCTTGCTCAAACCTTTTTTGTCATCTCTTAAGAGTGATCTTCTTTTGTTACCTTTTTTGTGCAAATAAAGTATCTTAATTGTACTTTACCTTTGGCTCCCGGGTCATGCATTTGAGTCCTTATCCTTGTGTAACCAAGTTCATAACAAAGGTTCAGAGGCAAATTTTGCAAATATGGCAGTAGCCATCGATCAGCTTAAGATAAGATATACTTTATTGATCCCAAGTTGGAACATTTGCGTTACATCAGCATGTGTAACAGTTGTAAATATGCAGTGGTGTTTATTTGTAAATCATTTAGTATAATCACACAAATTCTGTGTTTTATATTTAACAATTCTGTGTTCTTTATTTATTGATTGTTCAATACCTGACAAGGCCGGAGATGAAATATCTACATACATCTTATAAGAGTATAATACATTATGTATAATATCAGTTAAAATAAGTGCTTCAACATAGTTAACATTGCTGGAGGTATGCACAAATATTGATAGATGTCTTGTAATGCACTATTGAGGAACCTGCGACCCAAGTTTTTCATTCAATGCATAACTACACCATAGTTGTGTGGGCCTATATGATATGTCAATAAACCTTAGAAAATCTTGAAAGGGATGTGCAAAATAGTCATTATATACAGTCTTTAATTAACTATTAGTAGAGAATAACGAGTAATTAATATACTTTATAGCAGTGGCGAGCCGTGACTTTTATACCTAGGCCCTCTGACCCCCCCTGAGCCATCATGAACAAACTTATGCTAATCATAAATCTATCGATCATAAATCTATCGATTAGATAATAATAAAAGTAGGGTAGACATGTGGATATTATCCGGCTGAACAAAACGTGCATTTATCTAACAGGTTTGTTTCCCACAGACCTTATTTCAAGCTATTTTCCAAAATCCTATGGAGAAATCCCATTGCTCTCTGTCGAGGGAATCCGAACGCAGCTTACTCCCGGGTTTTAGGACGCGTCACTGCACCACTTGCATAGACCTCACAGCGGGCGGAACTTGTCATAAAATCCGCGAAAATAAAGCCCGCCCATTTAAAGGGAAGATATGATTGGTCAATTGTACTGTCTCTTGACATTACTCTCTCATTGAGTTACTATAGCTGGCCCTCTGTGAATCTACAGAGGGACCAACAAGCTCTCCCGTCTTCACATAACTCGCAGAGACGGCATTTAACCCTTCACATTCCAACAGAAACTGAACAGGCAGATTCGAAGGATTTATTTATTTGGAAATGTTATTTTAAATACAATTAAATCAAGTTATTTTGGTAAAACAAAAAATGTAACAAGAAAAAAATATTTGTAAAAATATATTTTTTTAAATGTTTTTTTTTTAATGTTTTCAAATATTATTTTTTAGAATATCTTAGGCCCTCACAGAGGGCCTAGAGGGCCCTGACTGCTCGCCACTGCTTTATAGGGATCCTATTAATATCTAATAATAAATATAATGAAATTCAATAACATGCTTTAACCACTAGGTGTACCTTTATATCAGCTGTGCACCTTTATGGTGTAAATACAGCCTATCTACCAATTGAATCAAATATAAAAGTCAGCCGAATAAGTGTTGATACTGCAAGGAGACGTATTGTGTGAAAATAAATGTAAGATGTTGTTTAATGGCTGATATATTTATGATCCACGTCACGTTTTCAGTTCCTCATGTTTGTCTAGAAGTCTTCTCATCAGGGCTCTATAAATACAGAACTACGGCAGATATGTAATATTTAATGCAGCCGAACCGTGTATTACAATGCCGTTATGTGATGACTTTTCAAAGAGAAAAGCAAGCACACTCGGAATAAAGTATTATTAAAAAAAATAAAAATGTTTTCGGTCTGTTTCCGGTATTTGTTAATGACGATGTGCTGTGAGATGTGAGACTGGAATTGCACGGGGGAAAATAACGTAGGCTATCTTTAGATGCGGATTTTGTTAAACTAATATGTTTGCGCTGTGGACCAACACTATACATTGACGGGGAAGGGGGTAGCAATAAAGATAACACCATTAAACAGTTACACAACATAACAGAAATACTGGTACTTGCTTACCATGCTGCGAATGGATCTGGCCCTTCGTACATCCGGGACATGGTTAAACCGTACACCCCAGCGCGTGCACTACGCTCTGCATCAGCCAAACGACTCGCTGCGCCCTCGCTGCGAGGGGGACCTAAGTTCCCATCGGCAAAAACACGTGGGTTTGCTATCCTGGCTCCAAGATGGTGGAATGAGCTCCCCATTGACATCAGGACAGCAGATAGCTTGCACATCTTCCGGCGCAGAATGAAAACTCATCTCTTTCGACTCCACTTCGAGCGATAGAACTATTACCAAAGCACTTATATACTAATAAAGGACTGGCTTATCTAAAGCCAGTTGAGTAGCACTTGAAATGTTTGGCTCTATGAAACCTGATGTACTTATATGATTCTGTTTTCTTCAAGGTTGTGTCTTC